TTGCAAGAAAAAAACCAAGCTCAGAGAACCCCAAGGACTCCACAGTTCAACCCTGAGCTACACATATTCGCCTCCATTGCATTTTATCCTTGCAAAGCACCCTGCTTCCACCACTTTCTGACACCACTTATCACCTGCCTTTTGCTCTTTAGACTTCTCACCTCTTTTTGAGGATCCAAAACCCCAGACCTCCTTTCACTCATAATTAAATGTAGAACTTTACTTTCTTGCACGAATTCATTGGAATACTTTCACCAGATCTATTTACAGTAAAGCCTTGATTTTACAAATCTTCATTCAACAGACGTTGAAAGCAACAGACAAAATTTGAAATTGGACTAGTAATGTTCTGGAATCAGTTCAGATAACACTTTCAACTACTGTGTTAGTTTTTGCATAAATTACGTAAACGTTTTACATAAAACATATATACATTTCATACATTCAGTTTTAATAGATACTTGGTTTAACAGGCCCCCTTTCTCTCCAAATAGCCTGTAAAATCAAGGTTTTACTACAGATGCTTCCCCTCTGTCTCTGTTACTTTCAGGGACCAACAACGAATACAATCTCACATACGTGACTGGGTGGCTCGCACACTTAAAAACAGAAAACAATAAATGGTTACAAATAAACTACCAAAATGAAAACCATTAAAAACCAATTAAAACAGTAAAAACTTAATTTGCAGGAGAGTACAATCCATACAATGACTAACAACACAACCAGCTAACAGGCTCCATACCACCACCGGATCCCCAGGCATGACAACAAAACCGTGTCGAGAGCCTCCTGAAAGGCCAGCAGAGTTGGGGGCCAGTCTGACCTCGGGGGGAATGATGTTCCAAAGGGCGGGTGCTGCAGCACAAGACTCTCCTCCTGGGTCCTGTCAGATGACATTCTTTGGCAGAAGGGACAGGCAGATGTAACCAGGGAGGCCCCATGCCACGCAGGGCTTTATAGGTCATTACCAGCACCTTGAGGCGAACAGGCAACCAACACAGCTCGTGGAACAGAGTTGTAACATGTGCTGATCAAGGAGTGCACATAACTGCCTGCGCCACTGCATTTTGCACCAGCTGTAGCTTCCAGAGGCTCTTCAAGGGCAGCCCCGTGTAGAACACGTTACAATAATCCATTCTGGAGGTGACCAGGGCATAAGTGACATGTTCAACTTGTGACCTGCAGAACGTCCAGATACCTCTCACACGAACCGTGCGTTATTTCTTTGCTATAGTTTACTCCAGCACTCAGTTCCCGCCAGCTCGCCCGGCAGTGCATTCATCAGCTGGTAGAGCAGAATCCGCCAGCCCTGCACCTCTCATTTCTTCTTCCCCATTACAGCACCAAGTACACCAAAGTCCTCGTATTTGGGCCATTATAATAAGGGTGCTTTCCATGGAGAAAATGCACTGGAGTTTACTTTGGGACTTCAGCCTGGATCCTGTACAAACATGTCATTTGCTAGAACAGTTCCCAAAAATCCAGAATGACAACATCAATCACCGGGCGCATTTCAGCTGTTGAGACAACACCCTCTGAAGGTGCTGCCCTAGTGAAAAGAAGACGGGAGGAGACCAAGCCCTGTTTTCCTTGCCTGTCAGAGAAGCTCGCAGGCCTTGCCTGCCTCAGCTTTTGAAACCATTCACCCCTACGCAACCAGGAGATCCTGGTGAAAAAGCATCAGTCTTGCTGAAGTACCCTAAATTAAAAGGAAAGGCGGGCATTCCACAGGACAGAGATCTGTCAGAATAATCCAAGGCAAAGCAAGCTCTCCCCATGGCCACTTCTCTCTCCATGAAGCAGGATGCTGGCTGTGCCAAGTGCCGAACTTGATGCTGGAACCAAACACCAACCGCCACAAAGCTGAACAGCATCAGCACATCAAGGAAACCACTGACTTTGGGAACACCTTTGTATCTGAAGAGCTGAATTTTTAAAAACGATCCCTCCAAGACCTCTTTCAATTGAGACAGACACCAATTATAAAAAAAAGTGAAGGATCTGTAAAACTAGCACCTGAGCTGCAAAAGAGATGTTAGAATCTGAAACATTCAAGAATGTAGCATTTTATTTCAGATTAACAAAAAAACAGCTCACCCCTACTGAGCAAAGGAATCTTCTATGCTGGTGCTAACTGACGAATTGGAATTTCAGTCTCCACACAAAAGTCCAGGAACTGAGGAATACACGCGCATACCCACTGCACTATTCCATTCCTGAATAAGCAGCATTATACAAAGTACAGGACACCTGTGAGCAGAGATAAGCCAAAGAAAGAAAATCTAACCTATACTGACACCATTCTCTATACATCTGCCTACCTTTCTGTCCCTGCAAATCATCCCCCTCCTGCTCATCCCATCCCCTCTCCTTCCACACACTTGCTTTGCAATCTCGTCCTTCTCCTCATGCTACCAAACCCCCTCAACCTACCTCTTCCCCACTCGTGTATTCAAGTCCCCTTTCCTTCAGCACCCACAAACACCGTACCCGTGAAACCCAACTAATTATTATATCTCTGTGACAGACACAACTTTCACTCCCACATAACAAAGTGGGGAGAAACAGAATGTTATACAGAGTTTTTCGTTCTCTGGAAGGGATCTCTAACCCAGCCCCTGCTCGGCCCAGGAACCCACTAAACTGTCTGCAAGGAGCAGCCATCCGGTTCTGGACTGAAAACCTCCAACGAGGGGGAGGCCGCTATTCTTCCGGCCAGACTGTTGCCCTGCTTAAGAGCTCTTATCACCAGGATAATTCTACCTCACAGCCAGCCTGATCTGCTTTCTTTTCATTTAAACACTGCTCCCTCTTTCAGTAGAGAAGAAAGCCACTCCTTGCAGGGACAGCCTTTTAGGTATTTGTAGACATGGTCACACTTCCAACTAAACAGACCCATCTCCTTGACCCATTCCTCAAAGAGGCCGGCTTGCAAACCCCAGACTCCAGCTTCTCCATGCTCCTTTTCAAGGGCAGCGCCCAGGGCTGGACCCAGGACTCCAACTGCTTTGAGAATATTCCCTCTCAATTAAAACTTGAAATTGCCAAAAAGAAAATAAAGTGTACAAAATCCAATGATTTAGGAATAACTGAACTTAGATAACCCCTTCATGGATCACTGCCTTGTCGTGGCGAAGGGGCTTGCGTAACTCAGTGAAG